CGGCCGTGCTTCGCGATGTACACGGCCGTGCTTTGACTGAACACGGCCGTGCTTCGGTGCCCGTGTTTGCAGCTGAATTGGCCAAACTGAATTTGCTCTCGGCATAAAAAGCACGGCCAGCAGTACACGGCCGTGTAATGCCTTGGGTCTGCCCGTGTTTTGGCTCCAGCTCACCGAAATGACTTCCGAATGCCCCGAAACTCGCGGTTAGCCTTCCCTTTAACGCCTGGGACCTGAAACATGACAAAATAGCACAACCCGGCGTAAAATAGGCCAAAACACACGACTATGCCCCTCAAACGGATAAGAACTAGGGGCGCAAATATGTGCAATTACATCGTTATCAAACTCCCCCACACTTAACCGTTTGCTTGTCCCCAAGCAAACCTAACTCAAACCAATGCAGCTCTCCAGACCTCTATAGCAACAAACAACCCAGATCGTAGGTAGAGGACTTCCTAGATCATTTAGCAACTTACGAGGTCAACCGACGCACAAGTCATCTCATAGCTTCTTCGGCGAGTCGGCATCATGGCAAATAGTGAACAGAGGACAAATGAATTGTGGATGAAGAGATTCTCAAAAACAAAGGATCATGGACTCACATTTTTCAAGGTGCTCTATTTTCTTTGCAGATGGTTGGAACCCCTTTTTTTCTGTTTTGTTTGTTTTCTGTTATTTTTTTTTCTTCTTTTCAAGGGTCCCAACCTGCTCTTACCGGCCATGCCAGGAGCGGATGTCTCGAGCCTCGTGCGGGGGAAAGACATGTAAGGGGGGTGGAGGTAGTAGGTGGACATTGGGAACGGATTCCCGTCTCCCCTTACACACTTTCGCCCTATTCGCACGGGATACGTTATTTTGAAGCACATTTTCGAGCACCTGTTAAACTCAAAACATGATACAAGAGTCCATGATAGGTAGAGAATCCACAACACCACACAATTCAAGGATCCTAAGATCACTAATTCACTCAATCAACCAACACAATATGAAGAAGAAATGAGACTTCTTAAATGCATCAACATCCTCCATAGTGCTACACTACCTCCCTAGGTTGCATATTACTATAAAGACTGTCAATTCAAAGCATACTGAGCAGCCAATTGCATGGAAACACGTACTTGGAGCCCTCAAATTGAAAAATTTGGACAGTGGACTAGGCTCCAAGCACACAAACAGATCTAATGCAGTTAAAGATAAACATCCCCCCACACTTAAGCTCGACATTGCCCTCAATGGAGAAGAGGGAAGGATAAGGGAACGATGTTACCGGTATGCACGGACTGCAGGGGACTGGAAACGGGCCAGTCAAGCCAAGCACAGCTAAAGGAAACCAAAGAGCTCAAACACAATATGTTAGGTTCAATGGTCAGCCCAATAAAATATCATCCAAACCAAAAGAAAACAAACCAAACCCAAAACGGGTTACAATCCGACTCAAAACACAAGAAAGAAAATCAAACCATGGTGGGGTTGCCTCCCCACAAGCGCTTCTTTACCGTCTTTTAGCTGGACGCCCATGGTGGATACTCAGGGCGGTGCAGGAACAGATGCCTCCAAGAGCGGATCCACGTCGCTCTTGAGGTACAGCTTCAGGTTGTGGCCTTGCACCCGCCGGATGCGACCACCATCATCAGTCAGCTCGACCTGCCCATCTGGCAAGATGCAGGCGAGCGAGTACCCAGACGGCCAGGGTGGTCGTGGTGCAGGAGGTGGGACCAGCTCATAGTGGTCTCCACTCTTCTTCTGTGCAGGCTTAGCAACCTGCTGCTTCGGCCGCCACTCCTCCTTGAGCTGTTTGTTCGGAGGCGTGGCTGGATGGAGTGGCGGCGAAGGAATGATAGGAGGGTCCTGCAAAATAGGAGGTGCAGAAGGATACACGACAGGCTCGTGTACCTGATCAGACATAGCATGCACAGGCGAGACATCAATCATAGCACAGTGATCAAACTCAGTCACAGAAAAAGTAGCCTGTTCATCCCCAGCACGCAGTATCAGTTTACCATCATGCACATCAATAAGTGCCTTGGCGATGGCAAGAAATGGCCTACCTAGAATCAAAGGCACATCCACATCCTCATTTACATCCAGAATAACAAAATCAACAGGATATGTGAATGCACCAACATGAACAAGCAGATCCTCTATGATTCCCCTAGGATGCACAATAGAACGATCAGCTAATTGAATGCTCATCCTAGTAGGGCTAAGTTCACCTAGGTCTAGCATTTTATACAACTTATATGGCATGACGTTAATGCTAGCGCCTAGGTCCGCCAAGGACTTTCCTACATGCATGCTGCCAATAGTAAGAGGGATAGTAAAACTCCCTGGATCCTTGCGCTTCTCGGGCAGCTTGTTCTGCAGGATAGCAGAACACTCCTTGCTCAGCATCACTGTCGAGAGATCCCCATGTTTCTTCTTGTTGGTGCAGATATCTTTCATGAACTTGGCATACTTGGGCATCTTCGACAGTGCCTCCATGAACGGTATGCTGATGTTGAGCTGCTTCAACATTGCCATGAACTTGGCAAACTCAGTCTCCAGCTTGTCCTTGTGTAGGCGAGTGGGGAAGGGAAGCTGGGGTACATGCTCCTTGACCACTGGTTGTGGCTTGGGAGCAGGGGCTTCCTTCTCCACCCGCACTTCTGCATCGTCGGCTGGAAGTGCTGAAGCAGGTAGTGGTTCCTCCTGTCTGGCCGGGACAGGATCAGCAGATATGACCTTACCGCTCCTGGTAAAAATGGCATCCAGCTGCTGATGCTGGTGAGGATCTCGAGGATTAGGAACAGTGGTGGCAGGCAAAGTCCCTGGTGCCCTGGTGGTGTTCTAGCGGGCCAAGATGCCCACCTGGGTCTGCAGATCCTGCAAAATAGCACCCTGGTTCCGCTGACCTGCCTCCAGTGATGTGATAGCAGCCTGGGTGCTAGTCATGAATGAAGCTAGAATGTTTTCCAGCTTTGTCATCCTGTCATCTGGGGCCGGAGCTGCTACTGGCTCGGCAAACTGGCGCTGGGGCTGCTGGAATGGCTGGCCCTGCCTAGGCTGGTAGGGCTGCTGCTGTGGGTCTGGCCCCTGGCGAGCCTGGAAAGGCTGCCTCTGCTGAAAACCACCTGATGGTGCTGGGAAACCAGGTGGTTTAGTGGTGTTACTGCTCTAGGCGAAGTTGGGATGCTGGCGCCACCCCTCATTATATGTGCTACTGTATGGATCGAGGCGCCTCGCATTGGCGATGAAGGCCAACTGCTCCTGGGGGGTGGTAGACTCCCTCATAGCCTGGTAGTCCTCCACTAGGTGATTGGAGCTCTCACACCACTAACATTGAGCTACTGGAGGTGTAGCCAAACCTCTGCCCGGAATCAGACTGTTGGGCTGCTTCAATGTCTGCACTAGCTCAGCTACCTGCTGCTCGAGCCCGGATCTGGTCTCCATGGCGTGCACACCACGGTCCCGGGACTGTCTGCCTCGGCTACCCTGTCCCCAAGAGTGATCTCTGGCAGCCAAAGTACTGATCATCTAGTTCAGGTCGGGTGGAGTCTTAGTGAGAATATCTCCTCCTGGGCATAGAGACTCAATCACCCTCTGGCTATCTGGAGAAAGGGCACTGTAGAAGTTCCCCACTGTGAATGCATCGCTGAAGCCATGATGGGGGCACTGCCAGAAATAGCCCATATACCGCTCCCAAGCATCACGAAGTGACTCCTCTGGCTCCTGGCGGAAGTGAGTGATCTCCCGCTGAATCTCTGTAGTCTTCGATGCCGGATATTACCTGTGCACGAACTTGTCAGCCAGATCGTCCCAAGAGGTGATGGACAATGGGGGCTGGGTCTCCAACCACCTCTTAGCATTCCCCGCAGAGAATGGGGGAAGAGATGAAGGCGGATCGCATCATCCGGGACACCATTTAGCTTGAACCCGTTTGTCAGCTGCAGAAAACGGGAAAGATGCACCATGGCCTCCTCATTCTTCAAGCCATGGAACTGGATAGAAGATGTAATGAGCTGAATCCAGCATGGCTTGATCTCGAAGTTGTTTGCTGGGATAGGCGGGTAGAGGATGACCGGGCGGATGTCAGCAATCCGCGGAGTGTAGTAGTACTCCAAGGTGGGACCCGGCTGCGGTGGATGATGAACTCCATGATCCTGGGGTATGGGGTTGTTCCCCAGGACCTGATTCACCGGGGGAACCTGCTGTGGATTCCCCTGGTGTTGATTGTAGTCTCCGTCCATCCTGTACTCTTCTTCAGAATCGCTACTCAGGTGGCCGTCTATGCGCTCTTCCGTAGCCAGTCTAGCTCGCTGTTGTCTCCTGAGCTGGCGACAGGTGCGGTCAATCTCTGGATTCAACGGCAGTAAACCTCCTGACTGGCTACGGGTCATGCACTAGCTGCACACACTCAAGCAAGCAAACCCGTGAAGGCACAAGTGGGACAAAGCAAACAAAGCAAAAAGAAAAGCTAAATTAACACAAATCACTTTTCTTAAACAACCTAGCCGTCCCCGGCAATGGTGCCAAAAACTTGACTCGACTCTACTGTCACTCCAGGAATTGGCCAAGTGAAACCACTTCCTAAAGCGTAGTATAGCGGGTTTGGGTTTAATTATCAACCCGGGTCCTAGATGTGATGACTACTCAGTGAATTCTTGTTATCTAGCAATGAAACTGGAATGCAAGTCTAAACTACCAAACAAACAAAGCAAGTAAACTGTTGTATTCAGGTTAAAGAGGTCACCCGGATATGGTTCCCCCAAGACTGCATTTAAGCCGGATTGTAATTACCAAGTTCAGTTTCTATGAAAGTTATACTGCGGAAGGTTCTTAAACAGCCTGAAGTCTCGACTAAAGGTCTTCAGACCCTCTCAATCTGAACCTCTAGCGGGCGACTAACCTCCACCGGAGTAGACAGATTGAGGCCCTAAGAACAAAACCTCCACTACCGGAGTAAATCCGGTACAGAATAGTGAGTTGGTTCCTCGACTAAAGTCACCAACTCCCTACCTTCAATCAAGGATACTCTATTAACCTAGGAAGATATTCTCATTCTAGGTTAAAGCAGAAACAACAGGAATTTGATCAGGATTCAAGTCATTCAATCATTAAAACCTCAATCGAATATAATCAATCACAGAATCAGTACTTGGGTTCATACAATCAAAGCCTAACATACAAATCTAGGGTTCTCCATACCCAGATGAATGGGAGAACTACTCCATGGAGAAGAAAGCAAAAGCATAATCAGACACGGAATTCATACTGCGAAGGATGGATTCCTGCTTCTGGACGTTGATTGGCACTTCTCCAAGCTCAAGCTGGCCTCCAATGGTGTTGAAGATCAATCTAGGGCACTTGGGAACTCTTGCTCGTCACTTTCTCTCTCTAGAAGTCGTTCTTTCTCTCAAAAACTCGAATCCCCTTGAATTGTGGCTGAAACTCTGCTTAAAAGCATCAGTGGCCAAAGCACGGTCGAGGACACGGCCGTGCTTTGCCTGAGCCTGCCCGTGTTTCGGCCAGTGTTTAATTACACGGCCAGCAGCTGTTGGAAAACACGGTCGTGCTTCGCGATGTACACGGCCGTGCTTTGACTGAACACGGCCGTGCTTTGGTGCCCGTGTTTGCAGTTGAATTGGCCAAACTGAATTTGCTCTCGGCATAAAAAGCACGGCCAGCAGTACACGGCCGTGTAATGCCTTGGGTCTGCCCGTGTTTTGGCTCCAGCTCACCGAAATGACTTCCGAATGCCCCGAAACTCGCGGTTAGCCTTCCCTTTAACGCCTGGGACCTGAAACATGACAAAATAGCACAACCCGGCGTAAAATAGGCCAAAACACACGACTATGCCCCTCAAACGGATAAGAACTAGGGGCGCAAATATGTGCAATTACATCGTTATCATTTGGTCTTCATGTTTTGGTCCACCTAAGAACCTCCTTGAAGTTGAGGTTCTTGTCGGTCAGGTGGTGTCTCAAGTCACGAGCTTTGAACGAGTCCATGATTGAGGGGCCGTGAACTTGAGTGGCTTTGAGCCTCCACCCATGAGACCTCTTCTTCTTTCCATCTTCCTTCTTCTCTTTGCCCACACCATGTAATTCATCATCGATTTAACAACATTGCATCCACCAAGAGGGATCTCTGATGGTTTGGCCTTGGCTTGGCAAAGAGCCACAAATGGGTCCTTCTCCAAAAGTGCATCGAGGTTGGGTGGAAAGCTTTCATGGAACTTGTAACTTGTGGATGCTTCATCCACCTCGACCTTGTCCTCATCTTGGAAACCATTTGCTCCTTCTACTTCATCTTAAACCTCCCTTTTTTCTTCTTCACTTTGTTCCTCCCCTTGGGAACAATAAAGATCTTCCTCCTCTTCAACGCTCACTTCCTCCTCTTCAACCACTACTTCCTCCTTCCCATTCATGTCCTCAAGCACGGTTTGGAAGGAAAGATGCCATGCAGGATCATAGAAATGATTCTCTTGCTCCTCCACACTCGTGACTCGATCTTCAAATTTGCCCTCGAGAAGAGGAAAGTGATGAGAGTCGTCAAGGCAACCTTCTTGCTTATCCTTGCCACGGGAGCTCTCCAGGGTGAGTTCATCTTGCTCCACACGTTTTTCATTGATCGCTCCTTCAACCTCATCTTTCTCCTCCAATGATGAGAGGTGATAGCTTGCACAAGCTCGTGCCACCTTCTCTTTTAGTGTCAAACCGGGAGGAATGATGGGTTGGAAATCCATGTTGGAGCTTGTTCTTTTAAATTTCTCCATGGCAAGCTCCAACTTAGACTTCACTTCGGGTTGGGGGAGATCCAAGTTCGAGCATCCTTCATCGGTGCCTCGAGCAAACCGCTCCACCATGAGTTCTAATTGGTTCTTTGGCTCCGGTTATGGAGTGGCAAATGGTCTTGAGGATTGTCCCATGAAAGTTTCCATTGCCAACTCCAACTTGGACTTCTCCTCTACTTTTGGAGGGAAATCTTCTTTATATGGGGAAGCCACTTGGTATCCCCATTGGTATGGTTCTTCTTCTTGGAAATGAGGTTGATCATAGAACCCGGTTCCTTGGCTTCCCCCTTGATGGCTACTCCATGAAGCTCCGGGGTACCCCCATTCGGGTGGTTGTGGATACCCCCACATGTTGTAGAAGCCATTGGGATCCATGATTCAACATACAAACACAAAAATAAAATCAAACAAACACAAACCACCCTTCAAGAGAAGAGTGGGTCAACAAACACAAAACATAAAACAAAATGGCTAAAGTAACGACCTAACCCTTTTTCAAATAACCTAGAAAAAGGCGCCAAAAACTTGACTCTATTCTAACTACACATCCCAATCGCCGGCCAAGTATAACCGACGACCGGTTATAGCATAGGGCAAGCAAGCAATAATAATTTATCGTACCACGGGGATCTAGGCTTACCCTACTTCAGGTTTAGGGTTCGTTATCTAGCCAACCTAGGATGGTGATTAGAAGAATTAAACTAACTAACCTAGCTAATCACTAACCTAGCTATTTACAAGGTTGGGAGCTCTCTTGGGTTAAACCCCCTATTTCTGACCTTTTGATCGATGTTGAGTATCCTCCTAGCTCAATCGAATATCTATCCTACCGTTAGGAGATGAACTCCCTCAAGACGGACTCGGAACAGTGAAGTGGTGGACGGGTGATGCTCTATTCAACCTAGGGCACCCCTATATCGTAGGAGCTCCATCCAATTGACTCCCTTGGGGATTACCCGGACGATATAGGGTGAGGAGTGACCCGAAGATGCCAAGAAATGGGCTCCAAGGGGATTTTCTCGCTCCCAGGTCAAAATCTCAAAACATGAAACTAGAATCCAAACTCATGCCATTCATGAAAACCATCCATAACTTAGATAATAAAATCAATCAAACATGGATTTGTCACATACAACAACACCCAATCAAAAACTAGACCTAGGGTTTCTTAAACCCAAGAGAAGAGGGTGAGTTTCTAGAGAGAGAAGTGAAAGATTACAAATTAAAGCCCAATTTCTTCTTCTTTTAGGCTTGATTGCTTGCTACCAAGCTTGTTCAATGCCTTCAATTAAGCTCCAAGATCACTCAAGAACTCACACACTCTCTCTCTCTAGAACTCCCCTTTGGTGTTTTGGGTCGAAACCCTAGAGAAAGAAACTATTCCCTCTCCAAAAACCAGCTCTCACTCTTCTTCCTTCTGCAGCTGACTTTTATACCCAGATCAAAGGTTGTTCACGGTTGTGAACGCAAAGCCTAGACCGTGATCTCGGCCAAAAACGCGCCATTTCACTACAACACTTCACGGTCTGGAGCTGAAGTTCTTGAACTTGCGACCGTGAAATGACCTCTTGCCAGTAACCTTTAGAAATTATCTGGAACCTGGTTAGTTCACGGATACGGGGCAATTGTCACGGTCACTTTGTGCATTTATTTCACTTTTTCGCACTTTTTGACTTCCAATCGACCTGAAACTCGTCCTCGGCTTCCCCACACATAATAGAACCTGAAATGTAACAAAACAAACACAACCTAGCGTAAAATAGGTCGAGGGATGGTGATCTACGAAGCAAAACAGAGAAGAAATTACGGGTAAAATGTGTGCATTTGGACCCGAATCACCACATCAGCGGCTGTAGGGAGAGTCACTTGTGGGTCACCACAATCTTGATGGGCCCACAAAACCCAAAGAATTCCTGCAATACACAGTGGTAAACTTCCTTCCTCTCACTTGATTCCCGCAGCCAGCAGCCAACCATCGAGCACCCTTCCCTTCACAGAACTAGAAAAATCATCAAGGGGAATTGCTTGGCAAGACGATCAAATGAAGCAGGAAGAAAGATCGACATAGTTTGGAAAAAACCTCGATAAATGATCTAGACCCATGCTGCAGTACTCTATTTCTTTGTCTAATTCAGTTCATGCAATAGGATTGATATCGTTCTTCCTCTAATTCTTTGCTTCTTATTTCCCTCAACCCAAATTTTGAGCTCATTTTCTTTTCCATCACAACAAAGTAGCCAATCTCAGGTGATATTCAGTTCAATTTTGATGATTGAGGGAGTCAATAGCTTTAGTTGGAGTTATCTGTTAAAGTTAACAAGTGTATTTTTTATGCTTTTTCTGTTGCAGGGGGCATGAAACAAGGGGAGGCCAAGCATATTAGGCCGAGATGAGTACGACGAGATGCCCACGTCTGAGACTAAACCCATGGCAGCCCATGCACACTGCATGGGAGTCCAATTACAAACGTATGAAGTTCCCTGTACTTGTAGGAATAAACATAGTGCCCTAGGTAATTGTTGTGTAAGGCATATATATAATGTATGCGGTTATGAGCCGCCATAATCAATAAGAAAAAAACCCTTCTTTGTGGACGTAAGCCTCACCACACAGGTGAGGAAGAACCACGTTAAAATCTTCTTTTCTACTGTCCTCCAAATATTTTCATGTTATCAGAGCTGTGCTAGAATCCAGCTTCGTCAGTTATGTTGGGCGGTGATGATGATTTCACCAAGCCCTCAAAGTCTGTGATTATCTCAAGAAGCAGCAGCAGTATCGATGGATTGTCGACCATCTACAGCCTCCATCAGTCCGACAGCCCTGGTCACATGCTTGTCGGAGATGTCTTCACGGCTTCTAATTACGGTGAGTGGATTCTTGATATGAAAGATGCACTCCTGGCCAAAAATAAAAATGGTTTTGTCACGGGGAATGTCACTCAGCCAACGGAGGCCTTTGCGGCTGATGTCTGGAAGCGTAATGACGCGATGGTCAAAGGATGGCTCAAGACGGCCATGGATAAAGAAATTCAGAGCAGTTTTTGCTTCGCCGAGATCTCAAAAGAAATTTGGGATGATTTAAAGGGCCGATTTGGGCAAGGTAGCTCATCTAGGGCTTATGAAATTCGGCGATTGGTAAGTCTTCTCCAACAGGAAAAGCTTTCCGTTTCTGCCTTTTATACTCGTCTTCGATCTTACTGGGAAGAAGCTTCGTCTATATCACCTCCTCCAAGCTGCACCTGCGGCAGCTGTAGGTGCGTAGTCTCCCGCCGAGTTTGCGAGCAGCTGGATGGAATGAGGGTTTTCGACTTTCTAATGGGCCTGGATGATGTATATGCTCCGGTTCGAACACAGATTTTGGCAATGCGCCCCATGCCAAGCATTGCGGATATTTTGAAGATGGTTTTGAATGAGGAGCAGCAACGTGCTATCACTCAAAACCGCAAGACTAATACTGAGACATCAGTGTTTAATGCACGCAGCGATCCTGCTCGCGGAGACAATGAACAAACTGGCCGCGCCACTCGCGATCGCCTTGTTTGTATGCACTGTCAGAAACCTGGACACCTCCGAGAGACATGCTACGAGCTTATTGAATATCCTCCTCGTGACAAGTTAGGTGAATGATAAGGTGAAAAGGGCAATTGACGCCGAGCACGTTCCTCATCAGAGAACCCTTCGTAGCGAGAGCCGAAAGCGTCTCAAGTGAATCGCGACCAGCAGAGTCTGATCCCCGGCTTTACTATATCTCAGCTTGAGCAGCTGAAACAGTTCTTCCGGAAGTCTGATCCAGTTGATGATCCTGCGGCTCACATTGCAGGTTCTATTTCTTTTGATTCTGATTGGTTACTCAATTCGGGATGCAATAAAACATATCACCATTGATGATACATTACTGTCTGGTAAGCGATTCAGTGTGAATGGGCCACTAGTTCAAATTCCGAATGGGGAAAGCATTCCAGTTCAACATATTGGGAAAATTGATCTTCAGTCTGGGTTAACACTAGGCCAGGTTCTTCATGTACCAGAATTTTGGTGTAATTTGGTATCTGTTAGTCGCTTCACTAAAGAGAATCAGGTTGCGCTAATATTTCTCGTTGATTTCTGCGTAATCCAGGACTTACGCTCCAAGAAGTTGATTGGGAAGGGTGAGATGCGTGACGGGCTGTATTGCCTGCACTTGTTTGGTCAAGGGCGTGCACAACGTGTTCTATTCAGGGAGGTTCGAAGGTCACAGAGGCTACTTGGCATGCACGGTTGGGTCACCCCTCATCGGATAAGTTGCAGCGTCTCAGTTCGTCCTTATCAGTCTCTATTAGCACTCAGCAGGCTCCTTTTCACTCCTGTTTACGTGCTAAACAAACCCATAATCCTTTTCCTTCCAGTTTTATTAAGGCGAAGTCATGCTTCGAGCTTGTTCATTTGGATATTTGGGGTGGTTACAAAGTTCCTTCTTTGAGTGGTGCACACTATTTTTTGACAATCGTGGATGACTGTAGTCATGGTACTTGGGTTTATCTCATGCGTTATAAATCAGATGTTAGTCGTTATCTGCTCTAGTTCTTCCATATGGTTCGTACTCAGTTTAAAGCAAAGGTGAAACGAGTGCAAGCAGATAAGGGATCCGAATTTACCACTCCACCTCTCCATGAGTACTATGATTCTGTAGGTATTCTTTTCCAGACGTCATGCACAGACACCCCTCATCAGAATGGGGTTGTCGAACGCAATCATCGTCACTTGATTGATACTGCTCGAGCACTTCGATTCCAGGCTAGTCTTCCTCTCAAGTTTTGGGGCGAGTGTATTCTAACCGCCACCTATCTTATTAATCGATTGTCTAATTCAGTCACTGAGCGTGTCCCTTACGAGGTTCTATTTCATCGGCCTCCATCTTATGCACATTTGCGTGTGTTCGGCTGTCTAGTCTACACAAAGAACACACATGGCCATCTCGACAAATTCGAGGAGCGTAGACAAGCTTGCATCTTTCTTGGCTATGCGACTAGTCAAAAAGGATATTGGGTCTATCATCTAGCTGATCGCAAGATGATCACCTCTCGTGATGTCATCTTCCACGAGATCATTTTTTCTTTCCAGGATTCCACGCAACTGTTACCAGAAGTTTACCCAGGCACTGCTTACTCTGGGTTTTCGTGCTTCCCATGCGGACCATTCTCGGTTTATCTACCGGCAGGGGAGTGTCTTTGTGGTGGCTCTTATTTACGTCGACGACGTAATCCTGGCTGGGAACTCTACCTCCTTCATTGGTCAGGTTAAGGCTTTTCTCCATGAGAAGTTCACATAGAAGATCTTAGCATACTACGATATTTCCTGGGAATAGAAGTGGCACGTACTACCAAAGGGATTTCTTTGTGCCAACACAAGTACGTTCTCAATATTTTGGAAGGAGCTGGCATGGAAGGTTCTCGTCCTAGCCCTTTCTCGGTGGATCAGAATCACCAGCTCACCAAACCATGTGACGAAGTACTTGCGGATCCCTCTCCATATAGGTGTCTGGTTGGAAGACTCCTCTATCTCACGGTCACGCGACCGGATATCACGTATGTCGTTAATATTCTGAACTAGTACGTGCATCGCCCTTTTCGGATGCATATGGATTCAGTTTACAGGATCCTACATTACCTCAAAAACGCGCAAGGACATGAATTGTTTTTCCCGTCATCTACTTCCTTGAATCTCAAAGCATATTGTGATGCCGATTGGGGAGGATGTCAGAGCACTCGCCGATCGACCAGTGGGTATTTCATCAGTTTGGGAGGTGCCCCGGTTTCTTGGCAAACCAAGAAGCAACGAGTTGTTGCTCGCTCTTCAACAGAGGCTGAATATCGCGCCATGACAAGTACAGTCAGTGAATTGCTTTGGCTACAATGGTTACTGCAGGAACTTGGTGTCACACAGTCTGCGCCTATGCCTCTTCATTGTAGCAACCAAGCTACACTTCACATAACACCTAATCCTGTTTTTCATGAGCGTACGAAGCACGTCGAGATGGTCTGCTATTTCGTACGGGAGCGAGTTCAGTCTGGGGATATTTTGCCGGTCAAGGTCAGTTCGCAGTATCAGCTCGCAGACCTATTCACCAAAGGGCTAGGAGCTGAACGTTTTCATTTTCTACTCTCCAAGCAGAATGTTCAAGATCTCCACACTCCAGCTTGCGGGGGAGTATTGGGCCGAGATGAGTACGACGAGATGCCCACGTCCGAGACTAAACCCATGGCAGCCCATGTACACTGCATGGGAGTCCAATTTCATGCGTATGAAGTTCCATGTACGCGTAGGAATAAACATAGTGCCCTAGGTAATTGTTGTGTAGGGCATATATATAATGTATGCGGTTATGAGCCACCATAATCAATAAGAAAAAAACCCTTCTTTGTGGACGTAAGCCTCACCACACCGGTTAGGAAGAACCACTTTAAAATCGTCTTGTCTACTGTTCTCCAAATATTTTCAAAGCATGCCTTCTGCAGCATCGGGACCAGACCACTAGTTCATGTTGTTAAGCACTAGTTCATTTTGTTAAACACTTGAAAGAACACTAGTTCATTTT